CAGTATGACATGAGATGATTGGCGATTTAGGCATTAGATGTTATTTCCTTCAAAACGTGGGGTCTTTAGGGACCGGACTTCCAAAGAATTTCTTCAAAACTCTCTAGTACCTTAAATTTAGTGCAGTAGATTCGTAATTAGCATCATCAATAACCTAGAAAAACGTATATTTTAAGCCAGAAATGATCGGACATGTGACACTTCCCTCGTTACAGCTTACTAGGACTAACCCTTCCGACTCCCCAAATAAAAGGTCGGTCTGGACGGAAGGCCTCTGAGGTTTTGTTTTTTATTTTTATTCAAATACAATACAAAAAAAATGAAAAATTCCTGGTCTGTCTTTAAAGGCAGTGAATAGTATAATAAACAAATGCGAAATGTACTGGTTGACTCTAAGTTGGTGGCCTATCCGTAATGGTGGTTGTTACTTGACTATCAGACGGTCCAGTTTCATACTGTGCCGAAGTAGCTCCGCCAACAGGTGGTGGTGTGGCTTCACTTACAGTTGAATTAATTGCAGCTTCAGCCTGCTTACTTGTTTGACCTGGCGTACTAATTTTGTGCTGCTCCATAGCTGATGATGCTTTTGATGATGACATTTTTTTATGAGATGTTTTAATATGTGTGCGGCGAAGAAAACGGAAATAATACTGGTGATTTGAAATCAGTAGTATGAAATTGTGAGTTATTGTTGTTAACAGAGAATTGAAAGTAGCAGAAAATATTCATTTTTTATTGTTTCTAAGGGTGTACGTCGTTGTTTGCATAACGGAAAGAAAGGAAAAAAGAAAATTCAAATAAAATTGTACTCGTGGAAACAAGAAAATTTTTTCTTATCTAAGGTTTATTCAAATTTCATCATAATGGAAGAATTCTGAAGAATACTCCTTTAATTTCTACGTCCTTTTGTGATGTGTGACAAGAAGAACTGAAGTGCGGTTGCCAAGGGTCAAATGAACTAAAATTCCGAAAACAGAAAAATGATAGTTGTTGAGAGGAATCATCTCATGTCATACTGT